CTGACTGATGTAGCGGGGGGATTCGACTAATTCAGTTGATGATCTGACTCATTCAGAAGATGATCCGATTCCCCGAAGTTAGTGATCTGACTCGCTAAGTCGGTGATCCTATTCCTTAAGATGGGTGATTTGACCTGTTATGCGTGCCATTGTTCCGTACAATTGTTCTACAACTTCGAGATTTGGTTCGTTTTTATGCCCTCCAACTTTCAGCGTTCAGCGATGGCTTCCTGATCAAGCCAAAGGACTCCTCATCTTTTTGAGAATCGAGATACTCATCTATTAGTCCAAATCACTTGGGTTGCTAGATGTGTATAAGGCGAGGAAAGACAGATCATGTTGGTGAATCCACAGGCGATATTTGGACATCTTGGTAAAGGGTCAAGGTGTCGAGGCACTCAAAGACATATAGTTTTGAACTGAGATTGAGCTTTACAAGAGAGTGAGCTATACAACACTTGAGCTTGAGCTTGAGACTGAAATTGGGCTAGCTGGCATGCTTGAAAGAGTAAGGGCAGAAAGAGAGATTTTCTGATCTACTGCTTGTGCTTAAGACAAAAACAAAAATTGAACAGCTGACACGATGAGCTGGAGCTTGAGACTGAGACTGAGCTTGAGCCTTGATCAGGGGTAGGGGTTACGGGGAAAGGAGAATGAAAGGGGATGAAGGGGTTTGGGGAATCCAAAGCTAAAGGGGAAGTACATGTAATAAGATCTTATACACTTAATCTAAGTATTTCTATTTTTTTTTGAAGGATTTGACCCATTTTTTTTAAAAAAATCTACTTGAACAGTTAGTCCGATTAACTGCATCGGTTTGTCCGGATCTGGTTCAAACTACCCTCAGCCCCATGTTCGGAACACTGGGTTGTACACATCATTTAAATTTCGGATAGTCAGGTACAGTTGTGCACTCAGAAACTGCTCCTAATTTTTCATTTTTTGAAGTGGATCCCAAAATTTGCGATGACAAAAAGGAAAATGTTGATACAAAGTTCGAGGTCTAAACAATCAAATTAAGACACTTAAAAAATTCATAAGAAGAAGTTGTTTCGATGCTAAAAACACTCAAATCTGATCATCTCGACCTTGAGATACATGAGCATAAAAATAAATGGATTTCTTGAAAATAATATTGTATATATTTTGTCGACCATCAATTTTCAATATTTTTTAGTGTTCATAGATGTGCTTGATATACTTTATTACTTTATTTTTGAAGCTTTAAGTTTTATAATCAAAGATGAGAATAAATTTTTAGGCTTTAAGTTTTATAATTAGAGATAAAAATAAATTTTTAGGCCATCATAAAGATTTTTGGTACTGAAATAACATCTTTCGACCCTATTTGAAGGTGTTCCTTGCTTTAATTGTTTAGGGCCAGCTTTATATAAACTACACCCTAACAAAAAACCTAGGGAAAAGTACGTAAATATTCTTTTTAGTTTCTGTTATTATCAAAATACCGAATATTTTCCCTTTATCGCTAATATGTCAATTTTTTGAACTTCATAACAATTTGTTTTAAAAAACTACAAAACTACCCATTTTTGGTTTTTTAAAAACCAAAATTAAACCAATTTCCGTTCTTACAAAAGGAAAATTAAAACTTTTTGGTTTTCAAGAATCAAAATTTTTTCTCTTAACCCCCTCTCTCTCTACTACTATCAATTGTGTCAGTGAAATCTTCAATGGAGAATCAAGAAAAGGCAATTCTCTGGTTTCGAATAAGGTATGTCCAATTTAGTTTCGCCACATAGTACAAAAAAGGGGAAAAAAACACCAAGTTGTGGATAAACCAAGAACAATAAACCATAAAATGAATATAGAAAGTGAAAAAAAACAGAATCAAAGGAATTAAAAATTTAAAATTAGACATACCATTTTAATTCAGAAATAGACATACCACAGATTGACCCAAGTTCTCGAGCTTATTCCTGCGCAATAAAGGCCAGTAACATATTCCATTCTCAACAAATTTAAGAAAAGGAAAATATTAATATGACATAAAATAAGTTAGTAAATTTTGTGCAAGAGAAGTAATAGTAGAGTATCCTCAAACCAAGTGCATCTTCAAACAAAGAATCATGAAATTGCAACAGTTTTAAATCTCTAAATTAGCAAGCTCTAAAGAAACGTGGACTTGGTATAGAGAGAGAGATGTTGGGTAGAGAGAGAGAAATGAAAGTTCATAGTTAGCTGTTGTACAGAGAGACACGCTGAGGGCCCATAAGAGAAATATTTTTGGTTTTTGAAAAATTAAAAATTTAAAATTTAGAAATTTTAATTATTAAAAAATAAAATATTTTTTTTTGGTTTTTAAAAATTGAAATTAACCTGATTTCAGATTTGAAAAACCTAAAATAGGCAGTTATATTTTATTTTTAAAATTGTTATGAAGTTTAAAAAAACAAAAATATTCGATATTTTGGTAATAACTAAATCTAAATATTTACCGTAATTTTCCCAAAATCCTGGAAGGTAGATATGCCCGATGGAGTGGGTATAGTTATTGCTCCCGCGGGAGCATACTATACAGGCTTGCTCTCTGGTCCTACTTGCATTTGGTTAGCAAAATCCAAATCCTAGAAGGTATATATGCCAGATGGAGTGGGCATAGATACTGCTCCCGCGGGAGCATACTATACAGGCTTACTCGCTGGTCCTACTTGCATTTGGTAGGCAAAATCCAAAACCGAGCATAAGACCACAAGATATTCTACGGAATTCCAGATAAAATAAGCCAAAAACCCTGCTATCTTAAAATCCAACGGCCGAATTAACATGAACGGTCCGGATTCATTCGAAGGTTCAAGAAACCCTCATCTTATAACCCTTTACTCCTCCATTTCATTTGCTCGCACTATCAACGCTAGGTAAGTCCTTTGGTCTCGGCTTCTGCAGCTCTATCGAGGTGAGGAAAGACTACTATTGCGAGTTTTTGGCTTAGGGTTTTAGGGTTGCGTTTGGATTTAGGTTTTCTTCTAGTTTAGTGCCTCTAGTTCGTGGTTTGGGGCTTTTCTGGTTCCTGATGGTTGGGTTTACCTTTTTCTCTTTTTTGGGCTTTTTTGCTGGGTATTTAGTGTTCGAGCTTCTGGTTTGTGCTCTCTTTGGGGCCTGTTCTGTTTCCTTCTAAATTTTACAATTCTACTTTGGTTGTTAGATTATACCTGTTTTTTGGTTTTCTGGTTCCTAGCAATGCCAGCTTTTTTTTTAAAAACTATTGTGGATAATTGTTTTTATCTGCTCATGTTGAATTTAGGGTTCAATATCCTTTTAATGGATACTTGCTCAAGTTATCCAATGTCTGGTTGGGCTTAATTTCTGCAACTGAATTTAATGGATGTCTCTCTGCTTAATATGCACTTATTTATTGTGTTTGGACCTAGTGGGTCTGACCCAAAAAGCTTTCTTGTAGTGAGGTCTCTTCTAAGTGGTTGTTTGATGAATTTATGAAAATCGACTATCTTCATCAATTTATTATTTCAATTAAAAATGTAATGTAGCTTTGAGAAGTGAAACATGCTTGTTTGAGAAAATAAGCGTATTCTTGAGAACTTGTGTGTCGGCCCCTTCATTTACTTTATCTTATGACTATTGGAAGAATGGTTCAGACATTGAATCATATTCTTATAGTTTAACTTTTGTAGTTGTTAGGATTGTTAAATCTGGCTCATTTGCAAATGGGAAATGGTTGTGAGATTAAGGAGACATTATTGAGATTTTTATCTAATTTTGGTTTCAGGTTGACAAAAAATGGCATCAACATTGAGCACTATGTCTAGTATGGGCTCTCTTGCTGCTATTTGCAACCTTTCAAGAGACAAGAAGAGCTCTGTGTCTTCTGAGAAGTATTCTCAGTTCTCTTCTCTTGCTTCTATATCATCCACTTCATTCAATAACAGGAGTCAAGTCGTAAGAATGCAAAGGAGGGGAGGTTCCTCTGGTATAAGGGCCATGGCTAAGGAGTTGTATTTTAATAAAGATGGATCAGCCACCAAGAAACTACAAGTCGGTTTGTGTGCTTTGAGTCAATTTGATGCTTATATAAATTGGATATTTGAACAACAAAACGTAAATACGACTTCTGAGTTTTGCTTTTGCAGGCTGGTGTTAACAAGCTTGCGGACCTTGTTGGTGTTACTCTTGGTCCAAAGGGAAGGAATGTGGTCTTGGAGAGCAAGTATGGCTCCCCAAGAATTGTAAATGATGGTGTTACAGTGGCAAAAGAGGTATACCAATTGGCGCTATGATGTTCTTGTCTATCCATATTACTTCAACCCATCCCGCCCTCGATTTAGTGAGCATTGAATCATGGAAATGAAACTAAAGTTGAAAACTTTGCAAGCATAATAATCCTCTCAGAATTTTTCCAGGAATTAATTCAAAGAACAAATTTGTTGAAGAAGATTAGCCATATATATGTGGTGCAGTCCATTAATTTCCTTTTCTCCTTAGAATATATGGAAGTTGTTTTGAGCATTGTTCGAAAATTCGGCCACCCGACAGCCTAGGCCAAAAAATTTTCAAAACGCCTAGGCACAGTCTGGGTGGGTGCAATAGGCGTTTTTTCTTTTTGGTGCCTGCCTAGGCGGCGCCCAATGACAACTTGCGGGCGATGGAAAAAACCCCCGGGTGAGGGTAAAATCTGTAATTTTCCCCCTCTTAGGGGGTAATCTAAACCCTCAATAGAAAATCCATGGCTTTTAGTGTGAGAAAAACCCCTCAAAAACCACTATTTTGGGATTATGAAAAAATCTTCCCAAAACGAAGGGAATGGTTCTTGGGTGGATTTGAAGCTTCTAGTAGTTGATTTTGAGAACTTTTGGTAACCCAATAGACGAGGATTGCACCGACATTGATTTGATTTTGATATTTTTAAAATGTTATTATATTTGAAAGAGGGTTTTGATTTTATTTTGCTACAACATATTATGTTATGAATCATGTGTTTTTTCTTTTACTTTTTATTTTGTCTTTTACGATATATTTACATGTTTGTAGTTAAAAGATTGATTTTTTTGGTGATTAATTGAAATTTTTCCCTTGGACGAAGATTTTTTGGGGGGAGGTGGGGGTTTGATTTTGGTGAGGGAACCCTGTCTCTGGGCGCCTGCATAGGCGGCCAGGCACCGAAACCGCCGAATCTGTGTTTTTGAACATTGGTTCTGAATAATTTCACATTGTGAAGCCAAAAATTTGAGGGCCACAATTGTTTCTGCGAATGGGGAACTATATGAATTGTGTTAAGTTACTTGACTACTCACCCAGAAAGCTTATACTTACTGTGCAGTTCTGTGAATTTAAATGGTTGCAAGTAACATATTTTTTTGGCTATTCTAGAAGTTCTTAAACATCTAGACTCAAATGTTCCATTGTGATACCTTCATGCTCTCATCACAGAACATGGAGATGATTGGGTGAACTGGCTGTTAGCTGTTATTATATGTAAGCAATTGTTCCTTAAACAATAAAGTAACTGGAAATCATGGTTTTGTGAAGGTTGAGCTAGAGGACCCTGTTGAGAACATTGGTGCTAAGTTGGTGAGGCAAGCTGCTGCAAAGACGAACGACCTTGCGGGAGATGGTACTACCACTTCTGTTGTTCTTGCGCAGGGCCTTATCGCGGAAGGCGTAAAGGTATGCTTAAAAAGCACCATTTTATTGGTGAAATGTGATAATCTGTTTTTCTTTCCCATTTAGAATAATGATTTTGGTTGTGTCTGAGGGTTTCTTAACTGGATATTATGGGTTTGTTATTCAGGTAGTTGCTGCTGGTGCTAATCCTGTACAAATAACCAGGGGTATTGAGAAAACTACAAAGGCCTTAGTGTCAGAACTCAAATTGATATCGAAAGAGGTATGTTTGTCTTGTTGCCTCTCAGCTTTAGTACCTCAATGTTATTATCGTTGAACTTTGTACACTGTACTTTTAACCTGTGGCATTTAAAATCCTGTATGAGAGCTTGACTAATGGGTTGGGAGACTTTATGGGATATTTGTATTTTTGAATTTTTGTCTTTAAGGATTCTATGGATGTGCAATCTTGAATGATGTTGTGCATGACTGATGTGTCACTCACCTGCAAGTAAAAAGAAACTGACATTGAGTTCGAGGGTAGTATTTCTTCAACACACTTTGGCATTCCTTTGTCTTTTTTTGTTTTGTTTTGTTTTGGATAGTTGGTTATGATCTGTTTTGCACAAGTTTTTCCCATGCTATATTTAGGCGTCTATTCCACCAGAACCCGTTGTTAGGATACTATTGTTCCTGTGCCGTAATTCATATTTGATATCTTTAATTTGGATTATGGAAGTTTTGAGCGTATTTTTTCTTTACAATGCTTGCTTTTGGTTTTGATAATGCAGAGGTTGGTTTTCCTTTCTGATTCTTTTATATTTTTCTATAATTTTCCATGGTTGGATATTACCATTCATCTGTCTACCTAATCTTCATAAAAGTCTGTCTTTGACTGTAGAACCCAATATATTTCTCCAGGTTGAAGATAGTGAACTGGCTGATGTGGCTGCTGTCAGTGCTGGAAACAACTATGAAATAGGAAACATGATTGCTGAGGCCCTGAGTAAAGTGGGTAGAAGGGGTGTTGTGACCCTTGAAGAAGGGAAGAGTGCAGAGAACAATCTCTATGTAGTGGAAGGAATGCAATTTGATCGTGGTTACATTTCTCCTTACTTTGTGACTGATAGTGAAAAGATGTCTGTTGAATATGAGAACTGTAAGGTTGGTAGTTCTGATATCATTGCTTAAATGCTGTTGTCGTCACCTATATCTAGGCAATTGTTGATTTAAACTTCTTTTCCCCTTTTGCTAGAAACAAATTTAGTTTTTGTCGAACTGTAGGTGTATCCCTACTTTTCTTGGCAAGGTTCTGTAGAGATTTTGAAAAAATTAGAAGTTTATTTTCTTAAAACATTTCAAAGTGGTAATCCTCTCTCTCTCTCTCTCTTTCTCTGTTCATCTATTCTGTTGGAACCAAAAAATGGGTATGCCAAATGCCATCTTTGCACCCATATCCTTGGTTGCTGGCAAAAGTTTGTAGAAGCAATGGGAGTTATGTTTTTCAAAGTGGAGAAACTCTTTTTTCACCCTATTTCTCACAATTTATTGACCTGCTCTTTAGTACTTGGTCATCTAGTATCTATCATTTAAGGGTTGTAATATGCTCATTCTTAAATTTGCATTTCTCTCTTTAATTAATTGTTTGTCTTGCATTGAAACTCCTTTTGTCGCATATTGTCTTCAGCTGCTTCTCGTGGACAAGAAGATCACAAATGCAAGGGATTTGATTAACGTCTTGGAGGATGCCATTAGAGGGAGCTATCCAATCTTGATAATTGCTGAGGACATTGAACAAGAGGCCCTTGCAACCTTGGTTGTGAACAAGCTCAGGGGTGCCTTGAAAATAGCTGCTCTGAAAGCCCCTGGATTCGGAGAGCGCAAGAGCCAGTATTTGGATGATATTGCTATCCTTACTGGAGGTAGGCTAAGTTAACATTTCAATGATGTGTATTGGTTGTTTATGTTTGTGTAATGCCTTTGAAGGTATTTGCTCATTATTTCAGTCACCTATAAGTGTAGGTTAGTCCTGCATTACTCATTGAACTAAATGAAATTTCACTCTCATTATCAATTGGAAACTATTGTGACATTGCTATGTGTACTGGAGTTAGGCTATGTTAACATTACATTAATGTGCTTTAGTTTTCTTATGTTTGTAAAGGGGCCGTCACTTGGTGTGACGGTAAAAGGCTTGGGTAGCCAGCGCAAGTGCACGGGTTTTAGTCCTGAGAGCAGCCACTTTGTGCATAAAAAGCCAAAGTTTGGCCACTTTGTGCATAAAAAGCCAAAGTTTAGGATCGTTTCCAGCCCAACCCTCTTGGGACCCTGCCTAGGTGGGACCAGCACTGGGTTACGGCCCTTTTTAGTTGTTTTATGTTTGTGTAATTCCTTTGAAGGTATTTTTCTCATTATTCCAGTCACCTCTACATATAGGTTAGTCCTACATTACTCATTGAACTGAATGAAATTTCATTCTCAGTATCACTTGGAAAACCACATTTGTCTCCCATGTGATTGTTTAATGCTGGGAAAGTACACCCTTGGAGTCTATGCTTCCCTGCTGGTGTTGGGTTCGCTGGTCATATAATTTGACGGGAGTTTACTTTCGTGGTCTCTGTAATGGTTTTCTTTTTGGTGTTTATGCTCAATTGCTTATTTCAACTGGTTTTATGTTTTTTAGCAACTGTGATTAGAGATGAGGTGGGATTAGCTCTTGACAAAGCTGGAAAGGAAGTGTTGGGCAATGCTGCGAAGGTTGTTCTTACAAAGGATGCAACCACCATTGTTGGTGATGGAAGCACACAAGAGGTTGTGAATAAGCGGGTTTTACAGATCAAAAACCTAATAGAGGTATATATCTCTTTCCCCGCCCCCTGCCCCGCCCCTTGGGGGGTGGGGGGGGGAAGGGCCTCCCCCCAAAAAAAATTCTCTGCCTTGGTGGGGCTGTTTTCATTGTTAATGTTGCTTATCAACGTTTTCTTTTCCTCAAGGAGCTTTGTACTTGATTCATTTGTATTGCTTCTCAGGCTTCCGAGCAGGATTATGAGAAAGAGAAGCTGAATGAGAGAATAGCAAAACTCTCCGGTGGTGTTGCTGTCATTCAGGTACTCATAACTTTAACAGTTTAGTATTATTTGTGTATGGTAAATATGTTCAGTATTATTATTGTGATAGAAAGGAAACCATGTCTTAAGGTATGCAGCCCTCCAAGGTATGTCTTCCAATCGTGACGTGCTAGGTTAGCTTTAGTGGTGCCCATGTGTTAATCTTCACAATTGGTCATCAGCAATGGATGATGGGAACCCCTTTGGCGGAGAGAATCCCAAACTCCAAGGGATAGTTATGTGCATTCTTTGTATTTGATACTGAATTAATTTCCCTGATTGAGATTCTAATTGAGATGCCTATGATGAAATAAAATGTCTGATATGTGCCCTACTTGTTACAAACTTTAGGTTGGAGCTCAAACAGAAACAGAGTTGAAAGAGAAGAAATTGAGAGTTGAAGATGCTTTGAATGCGACAAAGGTAACGACTAACTTCGGTGAAACGACTGGATAAGATACTTTGATAAATTTTAGTGCATTGGAAATATTTGTCACAAGTGTGAAGACCTTTAATTGTTGGATCTTTCTTTTTCTTATTTTTAAATGAAGTTCAAGTTTTTCATCTGTTTCTCAGGCGGCTGTTGAGGAAGGGATTGTTGTTGGCGGTGGATGCACCCTTTTGAGACTTGCTTCAAAAGTAGATGCTATTAAAGGCACTCTGGAAAACGATGAACAGAAGGTATTACTTTAACGTATTTAACTCAGTAAAAGAACTTTCTTATTCATAGATCAAAAGAATAATCTTTTTAATCATATTTATGCTTCTCTACCCTCTTTCCCTAGCACATGCATATCAGTGGACACCACACACCGGTGTGCAAAATGCACACATAAGTTCTCTAAAATGTTACTTGATTGCTGGAATAATATTATGGGAAAACTATAGATACCTCCTAAATTCAACTTTCTAGACAATCTACCCCCAATATTTTTTGTATCACACCCTAAACCCAAAATTATTTTTTTTTGTATTTACCCCTAGTCAAAAAGTCAATAAAATTTAGACAAAACAGCCATTTCCTCACTCTTCCCCTTTTACCCCTTTCAAGTCACGTACCCTCTCTCACACTTTCTCTCTCTACCTCTCTCTTTGCTCACCCTCCCTCTCTCTCTACTTACCCTCTCACACTTTCTCTCTCTACCCTCCCTCCCTCTCTACCGGCCCCCTCTCTTTCTCTCTCTACCCGCCCTCTATCTTTTCACATAAAACTATTTGTGTTCTCTCAGGTATATTCTATTTCTATTGAAAAACAGATATATAATTTTTAAAAAAGGAAAAATTTAATTTTTCAACTAAAAGTATTCATTTGTAACTAAAAATGAATTTATAAATATTTGATCTAAAAAATATTTATCAATTGTGATAGAATAATAATATAATATGCTCCCATAAGAGCCTATTATCCAAATTTACAAAACAAGAGTATAGCATTTATTGTTGCTTTTGCCACCTCATGTGGCAGTAAGTGCTATACTCTTTTGTTTTGAAAATTTGTATCACATGCTCTCATGGGAGCATACTATACTATTATTCTATCACAATTGATAAGTATTTTTTAGATCAAATATTTATAAATTCATTTTTAGTTACAAATGAATACTTTTAGTTTAAAAAATAAAATTTTTAATTTTTTGGAAATATATCTATTTTTCAATAGAAATAAAATATATATGAGAGAACACAAATAGTTTATTGTGAATAGTAGAGAGAGAAAAGGTGATAGAGGGCATGTAGAGGAGTGAGGGAGGGTAGAGAGAAAAGTTGAAAGGGCGAGTACAGAGTGAGAAAGGGAGAGGGTGGGCAAAGAGAAAGAGGTAGAGAGAAATTGAGAAAGGGCGAGTCGAGGAAAAAGTGTTGCTACGTGACTTTTTTTTGGGTAATTATATTGCCATGTGACTTGAAAAGGGTATAGGGGAAGAGTGACAAAAGTGACAATTTTATATAAATTTTGTTCACTTTTTAACTAGGTGGTAAATACAAGGAAAAATAGTGTTGGTGTTTAGGGTGTTATACAAAAAGTGTTGGGGCGTAGGATTGTCTAGAAAGTTGATTTTTGGGGGTATCTATAATTTTCCCTAATATCATTCGCTTCTTACATCTCTTCTCTCTCCCAAGAAAAGAACAAAAACAAAACAAAATGTCATTATTTAATTTGTGTTTAACATATATCCTGCCATACTTACTCTTGTGCCTAATCTCACTCGTCTACTTGTGCAAGTCTACATGTAGCCGCCTGTCCCTTCTTAGGCACTTGTCATAGGTGTCCTTATGACTGTGCCTGTAGCATGTTGTTTGCAGTTTGCATTTCCAACATGGTACAACACTTGGGCACCTGTATCTATTTGGATGACTGTCAGTCTGCTTGTATCATGTTGCGAGTTTTTTCTCTAATTTTTACTCGCCATGCACAACAGATTGGTGCTGATATTGTCAAGAGGGCTCTAAGCTATCCATTGAAACTAATTGCTAAAAATGCCGGTGTCAATGGAAGTGTGGTAACTGAAAAGGTATGTATGTTGTGATGACAATTGATCTGTCTACCCATCTAGCTATATATCTGTTTATTGCTTTCTTGTTATTTGACTTGAGCGTATTTACTAATACGGCAGATGCTTGGATTATTATGTTCTGATGTTTTTTATGTTTCAGGTCCTTTCAAGTGATAACCCTAAGTATGGATACAATGCCGCAACTGGAAATTACGAGGATTTAATGGCCGCTGGAATTATTGATCCCACAAAGGTTAGTCGTTTTATTGTAGTTCCCAATTGTCATTATTTGGTATGAGAGATGTTATGCTATTGTTCTACTTAAGGGAAACTATGGGTTCTACTTTTCGATACACATGGACTTAGGCAATTGCTATTGGCACCCATGTTTATCTATTTCCCTAAATATCTAGAATGGAAATAATCACTGACATCGTCTGCATAGAAGTTGTACCTATTAACTTGGGTGCATATGGGAGGAATATTGGTGCCAATGACAATCCTACTTTTGAAATTGTGAGATTTTAAGATGAAATAATGTCAGGAATTTTCTTTTCTTTTTTGGGATATGTTTAAATCCTTTCCTCTTTTTTGGTCTGTCGGCTCTGCTCCGGAGTTCTTGTAAATTGTAACCTCTCTTTATTTTATACAATGTTAACAGCTTCAAAAAAATAATGTTGGGAATTTTGTATGAGCTGATTGTGAAAATCAAGAAGGATTTCAATTTTGATGAGCTGATTGTGAAAATCAAGAAATTGTTCATGTCATTGTCATTGCAAGGACTTCGGTTTTCTGTTTTTGGCATCTTATACTGTAAAACCTAGGAGCTCTCAACGTAGCATAGCAATGTGAAACTTTTTCTCTATTTCATTGAAATTAAATCAGGTGGTGAGATGTTGTTTGGAGCATGCTGCATCGGTAGCCAGGACCTTCCTCACGTCTGATGTTGTGGTGGTTGACATCAAGGAGCCCGAGCCTGTCCCTGCTGGAAACCCCATGGATAACTCAGGTTCCATACTTCTCCGTATCTTTATGATTTTTTTAGCTACTTCATATTTAACGGATTGAGAGAGAGAGAGAGAGAGAGAGAGAGAGAGAGTAGGTTGGTTGAGT